GTCCGGGCTGGGGATTCGAACCCGCCACCTTAGGTGTACGTGGCTGGCGCCTTAGCCGGTTGAGCTATAGGCGCTGGGCCAAGATCACATTTTGATGAAATCTATAGAGCAGTGATTTTCAACAGGTATGCCGTAGCACACTGGCATACCGTGAGAGGATCTTGGGGGTGCCGTAAAAATTTTTAAAGGTCATTAATTGAATTATTTTCAAAAGAAGTTCATCAAAGCATAGTAAGTACATCCTTGGTTTTTTTACTCTTTTTTTTTTGGATTAACATTATTTAAGTGTGCTAGGGTAAGTTCAAGTGCACCGTGAAATCAAAAAAATGTTGAAAAACACTGCTACAGAGAGTCAGCAATAAAACCCACAGGATTACATTAGCTAATGAGAGGAGAGAGGATGGAAAAAACAATGGGCCTGAATTGCAGACCCTGGGCTAGACCAATATTGAGAAGTGGAAGAGAAGAAGACAGAGTCTGACGAGCAGCAGCCACGAAGCCAGGCCAGGGCAGTGTGTCAAGGTAGGAGGGCTCCACTCCACCAACTGCTGCTGACAGGACACAGGAGATGGAGACACAAAGCGGACCACTGAATGTGGCATCAGGGCAACATCAGGCAAGAGCAGATTCCATGGAATGTTGAGGATAGAATTCTTATGGCAGATTAAAGAAAAAGTAGGAGGTATGGAAGTTTGATTTTGTGAGTCTGATGACTGAGAAAGGGAACAGAGAGAGAGGTGGGATGGCTGGTGGAGGGGAGGGAAAGGGTCACTGCGGAGCCTTTACAGGTGGGTAGTACCAGGGCATGTGTGTAAGTTATGGCAATGCTGGAAGAGAAGGAGAATCTAATAGTAAGGGAGGAAAAAGGGAGCACTGCAGACGAGAAGTTCTAAAACAGGTGGGGAAGGACAGACTTGGGAAACAGATGGAGGAACTGGCCTTGGAAAGGAGATGGAGGCTTCATTCATCTCCTGACCAGCAGCCTGGACACACCCAGCTTACTGCATATGGAAATAGGAAGCTGAGTGTCATGTTTCTCATCCTTTTAAAAAAAATCCACACTCTTTTGATAAACATAAAAGTCTCAGGCCACCTCTCCTCTTTCCAAGATTCTGCTCTGATTTGAGTTGAAGAGGTCCTCCAGAAAAATCACCACTAAATGGAAGCCAGAGTCTATGTCCAGAGCATCCCCAGCTGCCAAAGACTGTGACTTTATTTTGTATTATGAAAATCACAGGATTTTTTATGTCCCAAACATGTATTTACATCTAATTATATATTGAGAATGACTCTTTAAATCTTTCTCTCCCCTACCATTACCACTAAAAATCAAGTCAGCAATTTAGATGTTAATGTCACTTAGTAGGCTCTCTAAAATATGGCTGGTTCCCTTACATACCTTCTCCCACCCCTCCCTTTATTTCCCTAAATCATTTGTAGATGTAGTAACATAGCCCAGGATTACAGAAGTACAAGGGAATCTGGAATAGTCATCTGAAATCAGACTCCTGGGCCCTGCCCTAGACAGATGTAATCACCACGCCTAAGGGTAAGACCGAGTCATCGGCATCTCAGGGAGATCCCCTTAGGTGAGTCTCATGTACACTGCAGAGGACATGGATGGGCAAGCCAGGGATCTGCCCAAAGCCCGCCTCTGCAGAGACTGAGACCACTGGAGGTGTCTGCATAAGATGTCATGCTCCTGTCTGTCTTGGCCCTGCTCGCTTTATAACTTCCTCCTCCTGGGAAAGCAGCATTCACACTCCATCCCTGGCCAGGTTAGTCTCATTCAGAATCCTCCATGCACATCCACCCTCATGGCTCAGCTTTCCACACAGGTGGCGGCTGTCTGGACACACAGGGTGATTCCCCCACCCACCCATGATTGGATCTTTGTGGTTTCTTTTCTTTTCTTTTCTTTTTTGAGATAGAGTCTCACCCTGTTGCCCCAGGCTAGAGTGCTCTGGCATCATCATGCTAGGTCCCTGCATCCTTAAACTCTTGGGCTCAAGCAATCCTCCTGCCTCAGCCTCCCTAGTAGCTGGGATTACAGGTGCCTGCCATATCTAGATCGTTTTTTGTATTTTTAGTAGAAGTGGGAGACCAGCTCTTGCTCAGGCTGGTCTTGAGCACAGGTGATCCTCCCACCTCAGCCTGCCAGAGTGCTAGGATTTCAGGCATGAAGCCACCCTGCCAAGCCAGGTCTTTGTTCTTTGATTGACATTTTGTAAGCAGGTCACCCTTTCACTGTTGTGTTCCACCTGCGAGGCTACCACAGGACTCAGTTTCTGGCGGGGTTAAAGTAGTGCTGGGTTTTTGGTATGAGAGGATCCATGTCCAAGACTGTCTCTGCCTGGCCTCTCCTCCCATGTTAACATCAGCTCCTTTTTCACATCTCAGTGTGCTCTTCCCTCTCCAGTCCCGCTCCGCCCTCCCCCGGACTCACTCGGGCTCCCAGGACTGTTTCCAGCTCTTCATAGCATCTGCATGCTTTCCTCTGCCAGGAATGACCCTATCCCAAAGCCTCAAGGCTGCCTCCTTCTTGAAGCTTTTCTTGACTCTCATGTCACTGCACACCTTGGAGCTATTCTTAATGCACAGTCTGTGGATACATCTCAGTATGTTCATGAACTTCTCTCCACCCATGGATATGCTATGTCCCATGTCCCAGCCTTGATGAGGACTGTTCTTGCCATCTGGAGGACTCTCTTTCCCTCCAGCCCAGCCCTCCAGCCCTGCCTCACCACACACACATTCCACCCTATCAACCCTCTTCCCAGAAATAAGCAGGCACTTACCAGGAGCTGCTTAGTTGACAATTAATTATACATGGCCTTACTCTCTTCTGCAGTTGGCTCAAGTCTATTAGACCTACCTTCTCTCACCCAAAGCATGAGCTTTTTGATGTCAGGAACTCAGGAACCACATTGTTTATCCCTCCCTGCTCCACCACCTCTCCCCACACTTGTGTTCACATATGCACACACGTGCACACAATCTGACATGCCCCACTTCCCTCCTGTGCTCCTCGCCTCCAAGATCAGCTATGTCACTCTCACTTGGCCTCAGGTCTCAACTCAGACATCACCCCCTCCAGAAAGCCTTCCTCCAACTACACCACCCATGCAACAATCCAGGGTCAGGTGCTGCTATCAGATGTAATCCGTTGCCACAGTGGCCGCCCATTGGCATCACTCACTATGTGATTTGTGCTGTGAGGGAGGGATGCTGGCTACCTTACTGTCACAGGACAGGCATTCAATAAATACCTGCTGAATGATTTAATCAATAGAACACTAGACGAATGGTTGGATGGATGAATCTGAGCAAAACCAAATTGGAAAGGAAAGCCTGTCACAGCAGGACTGTGCCATGCCTCCACACACCCCGCTGAGGACATGTAGGAGCTATAGGCTCTTTGGGGTCACCCAAGGCCTATTATCTCTCCTGGGAGTGGGTATTGTAGTTTTGACTGTCTTCTCAGGGCATGGTGTCTGGGTCCACCTGGGTTTGGTTTGTTAATGGGCTGAGAGTTGGGCATAGGATTGAGGGGGGATGCAGATCTGGCCTGAGGTTGTGAATAGAGTTGGGGTGGGAAGAGTCTGAGGATGAAGCTAAGGGTAGAAATGAGGACAGGGCTGAGGCTAAGGGCTAGCTGAGGCAGGGCTGGTGTTGCAGAGAGTGGAAGCTAGGGAAATGGATGGGGTGGGATATAGTCGTGGCTGTAGCTTCCACTGTATTAACTTCCTCTCCCTGCAGTATCCGGGGCTCTGACGATCCTCCCAGAAGTCCACGTGGATGGGGAACTGGGTGGATCCCTTATCATCAAGTGCCCACTTCCTAAAATGCAAGTGCGGATGTATCTGTGCCGCGAGACAAGTAGACCTGGAATATGTGCCACTGTGGTGTCCAGCAACAACTTCATCAAGGAGGAATACATAGGCCGAGTCACTCTGCTGCAGTGCCCAGACAAGAATCTGTTCCTAGTGAAGATGACAGAACTGACCGAAAGTGACAGTGGAGACTATGCTTGTGGGGTGGGCACACACACAGACAGGGGCAAGACCCAGAAAGTCACCCTCAACATCCACAGTGGTAGGTATCTCAGTTGATTGGAGGCTCAGAGCCTCCCCCCAAACATTTCCACTCAGGAAGATGGGGACAGCCATCTAAGTGTAACGTCCCCCAGACCCTTATGCTGTTGCCATATTAGCCACATAACTGGGATCCGTCTAGTTAAAACCTCACAGTCTATTAACTTCAAAGTCCACAGAATTTTCTATCCAAAGTGGATGAGAGGAACAAGATGGGTGCTCTCCTTGTAGTGCCCGCCCTCCTCCGGGCTTGAGGTGAAGTTGTGGCTCTAAGAAATTGGAAGCAAAAGGACATAATTGTCCCATATAATTGTCACATGAGAAACATCAGGGAAACATCAGGGATGAACATAAAGGAAAGACATTCATATATCAAGCCGCATTTGTAGGCCAATCTTGTTACTTGTGGTCTGATCCTTTTTTTCTCCTGAATCCCTCCTTTTTCCCTTACTCCACTGACTTCCCTACTAATGTAGCATGAATTCAACCCCAAGAAGTGCCTTGGGAATCCCTCTGATGATTTTGCAGAGAATATCAAGTGGGCCGGGGGATGAGTATTTCCTTCAGGGAGGCCTCCTGCCCAGTTCCTCTCAGTGAACCTTGCCCCCACCCCCTCACTGCCATCTACCCCAGCTGAATCACCTTCAGCTACTACCAATAGTCCCTTCCTTAAGCCTCAATCTCACCCCTATCACCCAAAACTATCAACGTATTCCTCTTGCTGTCAACAGAGTATGGGCCACTCTGGGAAGAGGAGCCAATGCCTGAGCCTCCAAAATGGTTTCGTCCAATTCTGCACCAGCAGGTGCCCTATTGGTTCCAGATGCCTACACAAGCCAGTTCTTCCAAATTCACATCCAAAGGTCAGTTCACCACAGCGAGGGTAGGAGAGGTGAGGAAGATGTTATGGCATGGCAAGAATGGAAGAGAGGGTGTGTGCAGTTCACAGAGGGGCTTGCAGAGCTGAGTTGAGTCTCAAATGCGTATTTCCCCTGCCTGTGCTACCAAGGGTACTTCCCTGGGATCTGCTTTCCAAATGCTATAGCCAGGACACCAGGCCCTACTCACAGAACATACACATAACCACCAGGGGGCACCACATGTATTAAGGTTTGTGCTCCATTCACAAAATCTTGCTCTTTCGTGAATGACTGCAAAACAACACTGGCCAGACGTTTCCCAGGTGGAGGTCATTGTGCCTCCTGCTCCCCCAAGTCTGTCTTCTACCTGCTGGTGTCTAGTGATTTTGTAACAACTCTATTGTGCAACTAAAAGATTAATGACGATCATATTAACAATACCCTTACATTTAGATATCATGTTGTAAATGCATTTTGAGACACAATATTTCCATCATACCCTCCCATATACCCTGTGAAGTAGATACATTAATTAAACATCATTACACTAGGGGACTCTGCTAGGGGACAAGAGGGATGGTATGACTGAGCAGATCATATAGCCAAGGTTGTGGCTGACTAGTGTAGGATGGGAGAGAATTGATAAGTAGACATATGCAGCACAAGGCAGAGTGGGAATAGAACTACAAACAAGGCTCCCCTACCCCTGCTCAGAGTGGGTAAGCTCTTCTGCCTGGGAAATCAGGGAGGGTTTCCCGGAAGAAATGGTGTTGGAAGCAAATATGCTTGGAATTGGCTAGCCGCAGATGGCCTGCTAAGAAGTCATTTCAAGCCACAAGGAGTGCAAGAACACAAGTAGTCTGAGGAAAGAGGTGGTGACTCAGTCCTGCTGAAGACTAGAATATATACATGAAAGATCACTTTATCCTACTATGTCCTATAGTTATCACACAGGCTCAGAAGACGGAGGCCCCTCCAGTCTACCAACCTTCCACCACCACCCTAAACATCCACCACCCTCGAGTTTCTAGAGCATCTTCAGTAGCAGCAGCCCCATCCCCAACCCTCCTGCCATCCACCACAACTTCAAAGACCTCAGCTCGGGAGGGGCTGCTCAGGGCTCCGACAGCCAGCCACAACCACCACACCTGGCTACACAGGCAGAGGTAAGAGTCCACCGCAGGATGGGCTAGCACCCAGGTAAAGTAGGCTGTCCACTATTACAGACCCTCCTTAGCTTTGTCTTCAGCAGGCCTCTGCAAAATATACTACCTATGAGTATAGCACTTTAACTCACTAGTCCCATTAACAAGTAGACACCTGTCAGCACCCCCTACTGACCCTACAGAAGGAAATAAGACCCAAATCTTTCAGTCACTCAGATTCATTCAAATCTAATATTATGGGGAAGAACTGGGTGAGAATAAAATTTAAATTAACTCTTTAACTCGTAAATATTAAAATTACTTTCACCTGTTTCCTTTTACTTTTTTAATGTAAGGTACTGAGAAATTTAAAATTATATGTGACTCATGTATTTCTATTGGACTGGCTGGAGCGCAGTCCAGAAATATACCACCAGGGGCAGCCTTATAACAGAATCCGAAGAAAATCTGTAATAGTTGAAATTATTTTTACATAAACACAGAAAAACATGTTATGAGGAAAAGGACCTCTAATACCATTTAGGTTTTATAAGTGGAGACACTGAAGTCCTGAGTTCTCGTGGTTTCACAGCTCTCGATTCCTAGTTCGGTAAATCACAGTGACCTATTAGTGGAGAAGATACCAGATAAATTTAGGACGAGACGGTTTTAGTCTCTACTATATGCCCAGCATTGTGCTATTTCCTGAAGATGTAAAAAAATGAAAAGATGCAATATCCTATTCTTACTAACATAAATCTGACTGTGATGGGGTTTGTAAGGGAATGAGCAGAAGAATTAGGAACACAGAACACAAAAAAATTGATTCTGGCTTACTATGATTAGGGAAGAAAAGAAAACTGTGCCTTTAAGAAAAGTAAGATTTTAATATGCAGAAGAAATGGAGAAGAGGGAAGCCCTTTTAAGCAGAAGGAGCATTATGAGAAAAACATCCTTTTTTCCACAATTATAAGTGGTTCAATATTTGCAATAATCTTGTGAAGAAACCAAGGTGTCAAACATTAGAAGGGGAAGTGTTATCGGCTAGGTGCATTAAATTCTTTATATATAGGCTATTTTGATTCATCCTCAGAACAGTTCTGTGAAATAGGTTTTACTATCCATTTATGAGGAAATAAGGCTCAAAGAAGTTAGGAGACTTGTTCAAGGTCACACAGCCAGTAAGAGTCAGAACCTGAATTTGAACCCATTTCCTTATTCCATAGGCAAGTCTTGGGGGGTGGGGGGCGAGTGGAGTGAATTCTGTTAACCTGTGAGTCATCAAAAGCGCTGGCCATACATACTTCCTTAACCTACCTCACTTACCAACCTTCTCTTCCTCCCTCTCTCCCTTTCCTTCCTTTCCCAGAGCACTCAACCATGGCTTAGAGTCTGAAAGGGAAGGCCAAGGATTTCACATCCTGATCCCAACCATCCTGGGCCTTTTACTGATAGCACTCGTGGGGCTCTTGGTGAAAAGGGCCATTCAAAGGAGGAAAGGTGAGCGCCTGAACTGTGCTTACCAAAGAGCCCGAATCATTCAGACTTCCGCTCAGAACTTCAGGGGAAACACGGGGTCGTTCTTCCCTACGGTCTAGGTTGCAGGGAAGTGAAAGGGGGTCAATGGCTCGGAAAAGGGGAGAGGAGGAAAATGGCCTGGGCCCTTTGGTCTTCAGGGAAAGGCAAGTCTGTGCCTTGTACGTTCTGCACACTTGTACCGAGCATCTCTACATGGGACACTGCCAGGCATGAAGAAGGGGGGCAGCCTTTACTTTGGACAGGGGGCAAGGGTGGCGTGGGCCTCTGATGTCATTTTTTTCCACCTCCCTACCTCCCGCCACGGCTTTGCTGAGAAGCCCTCTCCAGGAGAGTTCGCCGATTGGCAGTGAGGATGAGAGCTCTGGAGGCCTCCCAGCGGCCCCTGGCCTCACGACGGCTGCGCTCCCAAAACAACGTCTACAGCGCCTGCCCGCGGCGCGCTCGGCCAGCAGACGCTGCGGGTGAGCGCACTCTAAGACCCGCGGAGCTGCTTCGAAATCGCGGGAGCACCGCTGGGGATCCTGGAAAGCCGGCACGGCTCGCCGGGCTCCTCCCTCCCAGGGCTTTCCGCGGGGTGGGGCTGGGGCGGGGCCGGCGGCTCGGCCACGCCCCCAACTCCGCCCTCTCGTTCCTTTAGGCGAGGAGGAGGCGGCCCCGGCCCCTGCCCCGGGAATGTCGGTGCCCTCAGCCCCAATGCAGGTAAGCTCCGCCCCTCCCCTGATTGGAAGCCGCGGCCCGACCTGGCGGCCACAGCGCTGGGCGTGGAGGCGAGAGCTCCAGCTTGCGGGCTTCGCTGCAGCTCCTGGGCCGGGAGCCCTGGAGCAAGTTCTGTCAGCTTCCTCCTTTGTTGGTGTGGGAGATTGGCTACTAGGACCTGTGGGAGACTTAGCTACGTGGCTTTTAGCCAGGCAGTTGTCATAGGGTAAATGGGTACTGGATGCCGGCAGCTTAGTGAGAGTGATAGGTGCTAATTCTACGATTATGTGAAGGCCTTTCACTTGGAAGAGATCAGATTTCTAGAAGCTCCTAGGGAATGGAAGGAATATGCCCCGACAGTTGCACCTTCGCGTGAGGAAGAACTTTCTAGTAAACTTTCTAAGATGAGAGTAGGTAATTTACCCATGTCTGGAGGCAGGACAGGCCTGGCCTCTATGACTGGCCAGAGATGCAGGTGGGATTCAACACATGGGTGAGAGAGATTCAACTCTAAACCTGTGTTGGACATGGGGAAGGCTGTTTCTATCAATAGCCATTGAAGGATGGGTAAAAACCCTTTACTCCTTTGTTTTCCTGAATTAAGAAGAGAAAGCATTTTATTCTCTAAAGTAGCCCCTAGTGGCTAAAACATTATTACCTCAGGAACCAGAAAAAAACTAAGTGTGGCAAAAAAAAAAAATCTGTTTTAGTTTGAGTATAGACTAAGCTAATGCAACAGCTGTCCTCTAAACGACAGGACTCACAAGGTGGAAGCCCATTTTCCTCCCAAGTAAGTGCTTAGAGGCAGAGGGACAGGAAGAGGTGGCCTGAGCCACACAATCCAGGGACCCAAATTCCTCTATCTTGCTTCTCCACCATCCTCCAGAGTCTTACTTGGTCCATGGTCAGCACTTAGTCACCAGCAGCAGGTACATCTCCCAACCCACAGGAGGGGAAAGAGAAAGCTGCTTCTTTAAGCCCTGACTCTAAACTTTCACTCAGCACTTCCAATCGCATCCCTCGGCTATAATTTAGTTATGCACCAACACTACCTTCAGGGGAGGCTGAGGAATGTAGTCCCTAGCTGGGCAATTGTGTATCTTTCTAAAGAGGGAAGAATGACACCCAGAAACAAGTAGCAATTCTGCCACCATCACCTCCAGCTTCTCAAGCCTGCCCTTCCCCACCCCTGCTAGAGAAAGTTCACACCAGCTTAGGTGCCACAGAGCTTATGTCCCACCCTCCCACCACCCTTCTCTCTAGAATGCCCTGTGACCGCATAGACCCTTACCTGAGTCTGGGCCTTGCTCAAAGCTTTCTCCACCTCCCTGCCTGAAACTCGCATTCTCATTGTTAAAGGCAAAAAAACTTGATGGAGCAAATTTACTACATGGTACATATGCTTAATGATTGGTTTAGCCTTCACAGAGAGTATTTTCATTTTTTTAAGCCAAAGAAATTAATCTCAAATGATGAACTATAATCAACAGTGGAAGATATATTTCTACTTGTTTGTTTTAATAAGTATAAAACCAACTTTATTGTCAGACCAAAAATATTGGTTAAAACATAATAGAGGACAATGTAAAAAAAATAGCAGAGGGCCTGCTCCTTTGTATTCAGCATTCGTGTGATTTAACAAAACGAAAAATCATGTCATACATCAAGGATTTCTGAGACTCACCCTCGGCCTCTAAAGGAACCTCAGATATCACCACCTTGACTTCTCACACTGGAAACTCCATCTTGATCATCTCTCTTTCCTCTATATCGCCTCCAACTTGGTGTATCATTTCCCCTATTGTTACATGCATGTATTGCTTCAGGGTGACATCTTGAGCTGTTTCAGGAGCCAGGTCTTCCTTGACTGCATGTCCTACGTCATCAAGTGGAGTGGCACCCACCCGTGCTCATTAGCTTCTTTTGTTCATTGCTTGACTAAGCCTCTTCCTCTGACGTTTTCACCAGGTCCATCTAACTGTATTTTCTGATTTTCTTTGTTCTCTGATTTGTCTGTTCAGTTTTCTCTTCATTTTCCTATTCTGTGCCTTCTTGTTTCCTTGGCTGATGGAAAGATACACTTTTGAAGCTAGCTGCTGCTGCTTCCCTCTTTAGTAAAATACAAAATGTAAAAGTTCGTTTCAGTGAGTACATGCTGAATGCCTACTATGTTCAGGGGACTAGACTTCTGGTTCTTAGAGCTTGTGCTTAAACACATCATGGTCCCCCCTGTGGCCTTCCTCAGTGGATGTTACAGTAATTGAACCATGGTCTGGGTCATTGGCACAGCCCTGTCATCTGAGAACTGACAATCATCCTGAAGGTGGATGATCCTAGAGTTTCTGTCTGGGGAAGAGGAGCACCACTGTGCCCACATGGTCTATCTTCCTTCCCTTCACCACCCGGCCACTTCCTGGAATGCACTGTCATGCCACATCACAGCTTCTCTGAGCCCTTGCAGAGGGTGACTCACCCTACTTTTGAATAACTCCCTAAGAAGATGCATATTTATCCCACAAGTCACATCATCTTACCCCTGATGGGATATTCCTCTGGCAGCTGTGTCTCCTTCAGACCTGTGCCTACCCATATGATTTAAGTCTGACCCCCATTTATGCTATTTCCTGACCATATTAGATCTAAGTGTTTTCCAGTTATCAAGGGTGAAACACCACACTGAAAATCCCCAGGGCTGGCTTACTTGGTGAAGCTCAGCCACCTCTACATCTTTGCCTTCTGGAACTCAGCAACCACGCCCGTGCCCCTCATTGCCCACTGTGTAAATATGCCAAGAGAGATAATAAAATCACCCATTCAGATCCAGTGATGCCTCTTTGGTTTTTCCCAGGAGTACGAAGCTCCCTGGCTCCATGCCTCGTCTTTGAAGACCAGCAATGAATATGTGGATTTCTACCACCAACCTGATGCCAAGAGGGAGGACTCTGTTTCAGACGACTACATCAATATTCCTGCCTGACTCACCTCCCCAGATGTCTCCCGGCTCCCAGACAGTGGTGCCACTGAGTCTTATCTATCTGCTGATTTCCAGTACCGGCACCATTTGTCCTCAGAGCCCTTATCACCTCCCATGCCCCATCTCAACTCTGATCCCTACCTATCTGTGCCCTGCACATAGCTCTGCCCCCAGCTTCTCTTGTACACCTTTATAGCCCCCTGTGGCTGCCAGGGGGTTCTGGACATGCAAAGCATTCATCCCTTTGCCATCTACTTCCTTTCCAAGCCATCTGACAGGCTATGAAATTTGCAGACTGTTTCCACGATGTCTTTGATCACAAGGTCTTTGAAGCCCTGGCTCCAGATCACATGGTATCAAGGCTAGAGCAGAGGCATAGCTGTTGCTCCAGGAGCCCTTCCCAGTCTTGGGCCTCACACAGATAGAAGCTTCTCAGTCTAGATCATGAGAACATGCCTCAGCCCCACAATCTAAGCCGAGGCCTGGTATGAAAACACTCGCAGGAACATCTTTGCCCTTATCCAACAATTGGCACTTGCTAGTGAGTCTCTACTTAGCTCCTAAGGTCAGGGTGATTTATTTTGATGAGATGATGCATTCTAAATTTTCAGAGCCAGGCTTGTTAATGTTAGTGATGTATACATATGCATCTATAAATCCTCCTTACTCTGTCCCCCTCATTTGATGCACATTTTTAGAAATATGAGAAATCATCATTGTCGTCTCCTTATCCTTTTTCTGCTGCCTGGCACTGATATTTGTGGATTTATCTTAACTTTGGTTGATTGTAATCATCCAAAACTATTACATCTCCTTACAGTGAGAAATGTTCCTCATCTCTTTGCCATTTGTAGACAACACATAGCAAGATAGGAAGGAGAGTATTCTGGGGTTCCTGGAGGGCCAGGGACTCTGTGATGTCATAGAAGAAGAGACATCCCACCTCTTACATGTACTCTTTTCTTTAAGATGTTAGAGCAAGTTCATAGTTGGACATTATACCTTTAGACTGATGTCAACTGGGGCTAGAATGTGCCCAGTCTTGCTGCTGGGAAGAAGGCCTTTCCCGATATACAACACAGTCTCTCTGGGCACTTGTCCAGAAGTAGAATGGACAGACAGCCAGACTTGAGTTATGTTGTCTTTTATTAGCAGGGAATGTCATCACAGATTGGACAGTACATCCAGGTACAATGACCACCATCAGCAATTTCAGCTTGACACTGGCACTCTCTGAAGTGGCAGAGAGGGAAAGAATGACTAGAATGAGAAAAGGAAGGCACACAGGGAAGGAGACACTGGGGTGGGCTGGTGAGCATGGGCAGGAAACGGAATGAGTGTTTAGTGAGAATGGGCTTTGTGCTTGGCACTTTAACCACTATTTTATCTTTCATCATTTACTGCACCTCACCTCCACGCCAGTGCTTTATCTCTGCAGATCTCATAAGACAATGTGAT